TCCAAGCATCAATAAATTTTTTATCGTAGTTGGTCTTTATCATTACTGGTTAGCAATGTTAGCCTTTCGTAGTTAGTCCTGCTACCAATGAAACATGTCTTTTGAAATTATGCTAACTCAATAATTGAAGGGTCTTGGCCAATGGATAAGAATTGAAGTAAAGGTATTTATTAATAATTTATTATTTGTAGATTGATGGATTGGTGAAAACTAAATTCCGTGTAGGATAGGATGTACGTGCGATGGAAGACATTGTTTCACAATATGCATTTCTGTGACTTTATATGATTATGATTGCTAGTGAAGTATAGCAATTGATGGTTAAGGCGATTGCCTCATTGAAAAAGTACTGCCTCAAGGCACAATAGGTGTGGTTCATTGGTGCCTTTTTAAACCTTGATCCCCAAGAGCAAATATACATATGTTGTTTAGAAAAGATATTTGTATCTTATGCCTCAAATCTTGCCTCACTTGTGGTTTCATAAAATGCCTCAAATCTTACTCCTTAAGCACAATTTGCAAGACTTAGGGTTAAGGTGTTAGCCCATTTACCTTCCCTTTTTTGGAAATTTAATTATTGTCCTTAACTTTTCAGAATATTTATTTATAATCTACAGTGTTTTAGAGGTTTTATTTTTTTCCTTTACACAAAAGGGAAAGGGAAGGACGATACACTATTGCTAGTGAAGGACGACAATAAAGAATGTGAAGAAACTGAGTTTGACGAGAAGCTTGATGTTGATGATTCCCTTAAAGATTCTATTAATAGTGATGATGTCAAGCTTCATTTTCAACCACGCATTTCAATGGACGCACAAGTAATATCCACCATTCATTTCTATCTATTTATAAATTAAACTATTTAAAACTTCTTCCCAAATGGAGGCTTCATGTCTGTTTGCAATTTTGTTAATTTGTTTTATTAAGGATTTTTAACATGTTTTATGGTTTATCTATTTATAAATTAAACTGTATATAAATTCTTCCTAAATGGAGGCTTTTATGTCTGTTTGCAATTTTGTTAAATTTTTATTTTTTATTTTTTATGGTTTATTGTGAGAATATTTTTGTATTTTTTTATCCTTCTGTATTATTTTATTGGTTTGTGTTGAGCGGCTTACTCACCCCACATAGATAAAACTCCTGATTAAACCTTCTTTAAGCTATATATACACGAGGCTGAACTAGTCTTTCTTGGAAAGGATGCTGAGGGTCTCATCTGGTGTTCCACTTTGATCCCCTGCCAACTGGGATTTATCCAACCAAATAATATTCCTGTTGCCAAACATTGTTAGATTCTTCTTGTTCTGTTTACTTAGTGTGTGTTTGACACCCATTTTAATGGGTTGAAAAATTTTGGAATAGTGATTGATGGGAGAATTTGTGGTGGAAACGTGATGAAAATTTTTAGATTTGTGTGTAATATTATTTTATTTGGAGATTGTGTGGTTGAAATAAAGAAAGAGAATGAGAATGAGAATGGGTGCCAAACAGGGGCTTAACTTTAGAGCAGAGTCAGAAGTAGTAGTTTCTAGGAGCAGGTGGAGCCCATTTTCCGCTACTACAGACTATTTTTACCAAATGGAGATGTCTACTTTCTTTTTAAACAATTCCCATTCTTCAGTATTCTACTTTTGCCTATGTGATGTACCTGGTTTTCTTGCCATATGAAGTGTAAAAAGATAAATCTGCATTTCACTGTTAACTATAAACATTGTCAAATATGCACGTGTCTTAATGTTAGAACTTTCTTATTTCTTCATATGCACATTATAGATAACTGAGATGACATCTGAATTAATTTTCAGCTAGCAATTTTCATCTTTAGTACTTTGCTGACCTTCAGCTTGCAATATTCATCTTTAGTACTTTGCTGACCTTTTCCCTCTTTGTAGGGAAAATAAAAATCTAACTGGCACGGCTCGTTATGCAAGTGTAAACACCCATCTTGGAGTAGGTGAGCGAACCTTGTGGTTGCAACTAATAACTGAAGATACTTTGCTTCATGATTGCTCATCTCAAACTATCTAATAAGAACAAAAATGAAGAAATGCTATTGCTGTTAACAGATTTGTGCTTCTCTGACTTTTCCTCTGATTATCTATTTCAGAACAAAGCAGAAGGGATGATCTAGAATCTCTTGGTTATGTCCTTATGTACTTCCTCAGGGGAAGGTTAGGCATAAGAACTTCACTTCAGACTTTTCTATTGTTCTTTCTCCTCTTTCATACATAACCGACTAATCACATTTAGTTTTTCCATCTTAGCCTCCCTTGGCAGGGCCTGAAAGCTGGCACTAAGAAGCAAAAGTATGACAAAATTAGTGAGAAGAAGATGCTTACACCCGTAGAAGTATGACTTGTTTATTCTGGTGTCATTTGTTTGAATTTCTTTTATGTGATAGATTTTCGAATCACATAATTTTGTGTTTTTCGAAGGTTCTTTGTAAATCTTATCCAACTGAGTTCACATCATATTTCCATTATTGTCGATCATTGCGATTCGAGGACAAGCCTGATTATATGTGCTTGAAGAGGCTTTTCCAAGACCTCTTTATTCGAGAAGGTAAACATATGTATGGATGTTTACAATTACAATTGCCGTATGTATCTTATTATCAGTTTATTCCATTTCATAGTCAATTTAACATTTTCAAAGTAGATTTCAAGACTTTTATAATGGTTCATCCATGATGAATATGATAATTGGAGCAGGTTATCAGTTGGACTATTTGTTTGACTGGACTATATTGAAGTATCCACAGACTGGCTCCAGTTCTAGAGTACGAGTTAGTGTTCTCTTGATTTGTTGTTTACTAACCGTGATTTTGTTTTTTGAGTTGGGGTTTGTATCTTATATTTTTCTTTCTTTTATCAGCAGCCAATGGGGAAATTACCTATAAACCCTGGACTATCGGCTGAAAGAGTACAAAAGACTCCAGGTCTGCTAGGGCGCCTATTTTTTTTTTCAGCACCCCCAAGATGATGTCACCCACACGTTTTGTGCACACGACTGAATTTGCCACGTGCATTGGGAACTTTCCATTGCTTTTATATTTAACATAATTATCTGAAAATCAATAGGCTAATAAATGGTTGCCATTATTTACGTGCATCAATAGTGAAGCAAGAAGTGCGAGACAAATTGTCTGGTGCAGTTGAAGCATTTGCCAGAAGGAACGGTTCTGGTGGAGGCTTGCACGGGGATAACTTGAGGTACAGATCGGTAGACGTGCCATCATCAAAAGATGTGGTGAGTACTGAAGATTTAGGATTAATCTGTTTTGTCTATACTCTTATTTGTTGCCTTCGTTGTTCCTTCTCCGTTCGCACTTGTTCAAGGCAAAATTGTAGCATTGTTTCCCTATCTATTGCTCTAATAGCAAGTTGGTCTCCAATTTTTTAAAAAGAGCAAGTTATTTACCAACCTTGCGAATGACTTGACACTACAGTATAGGTAAGGTGTTTCTGTGACAGACCTTCCACATTTTATTATAATTTCACAATCAATCCCTGGCATTGGAAACTGTCTAAATCTTTGTTAAATCGTCATGTGACCTTGACATGTCCAACTTTATGTAAGTTGAGTTTTGCTTCTAGTCTAAGAGCTGGTGTCCAGAAATTTGAAGTGAGGATCCTGAAATTCTTATCAAGATTTACACAGTTTCTGTCATTTGGGACTGATTGCTCAACTGTAATGAAGGTTGGAGGTGGGCAATTCCTTTCTTTTTAAAGGTTGGGAACCCTTTTGTTAATGGAGCAATAGGTTTGGGACCAATGGTGCAATTTCCTTTTGTTTAAATGAACCTTGTATTGCATTCTATTTCACCATGTACCCTTGCTGCTTCATTCTCCAGCAAGCTGATTCTGAAAGAGGACGGTTATCTCGCACTGGTAGCACTTCAAAGAGGGCTGTACTATCAAGCAGCAGGCCAAGCTCCTATGGGGAAGCCAGCGAAAATCGCAATAGCCGGTTAGGCTCAGGCAGCGGTCGACTATCCACCACTCAAAGATTACCACCTGGATTTGAGTCCAAATCTTCTTCTTTTATGCGTGCTGCAGTCTCCAGAGGCAACCATGATGATGCTCTCCGTAGCTTTGAGCTTCTAAGAATTGGCTCCGGGAAAAGGAAATGATGGAACGGCATATTTGAAACGTTTGGGTTCTGTGTTAAAGCCTCATTGTTCCTACCTTACGATGGAAATAAAGCGACCCTATTTTATACATTCGTGACTCTTTGAGTATCCAATACGCGACTAAAATTTCATTACTGGATCGATTTTAACAAGGTGGCCTCAAAATTTAGCTGTCGTAAAGCCACATCTTTGAATATTGCTACTTACTGATTCTTGCTTTAACCTTGTATTGTAACCCAACAAAGATGCATGTGATTGTATTGCCAAGGGAATCTATTCAACAGTACTGTAGTTCTACTAGTACTTGTCTTATCCACTGTTATACAGCTTTCGAAATCTGTAGCTCCTTTCATCGATAGTGACTGTTCCTCACTTCGTTTTCTACTCTCCTTATCTCGACTAGAAAGGAAAAAAAATTGAAAATTTTGATAGTGAAAAAGAAGGACTTCGAAGAAAGCTTGAATCGACTGTCACATTGGGTCTTCTTAAATGACTAAATTGTAATAAACCATAAGTTCAGTTATAACAAAATTTAAATTTATCGATCAAATAAAACAAACAGTGAAAGTTTGGGTCAACGTGAACATCTTGTTTCATTCATTATAAGTTATAACAAAAAGCCTCTGTTTGATAAGGATTAAAATCAGATTTTAGTGATTTTGATAAAAATTGATGAAATATGTAGTTGAAAAGTCGTAAATATGTTCGAGAAATTTGATCCTCAATTATGGTTGTAAACCAGGCTGCTCGAGTTTGGCACGCCATCAAATATTCAATATTATTCCCTAGTATGTTAGAGGTCGCAACTAAAAATTAGCAACATGGTGAGCAAGGTTAAGCAATAATCAATCATCAACATGATGTATCAGTCAAAGCGGATGATTAAGCAAGAGATAGTGGTCTTGCTCATTCTTGTCAAAGCCTCATTTGCTAAGCATTCTGCAGCTTCTTGAGGGTCTTCTATGTGGCTAATCAGATTTACAGCCTCTTGGTTCTTCATAACCTATAGAAATATGATCAAACACAAAGAAGGAGATAATAATTAAACAAGTTAAGATGAGTATTGGAGAAAGCCATGTAAATTATAGTTGAAGCGGAATTGACGCTTCAATACAACAACTTCAACACGTTTGGTGAGGGAATTGAACAATATTAGACAACATTAAAGATGTAAAGGACGTTGAAGTCTTGTACATAGTCGGTCGAGTCATCTAAGACGTGATGGTGGAGCGCATGTTGGCAATCTTCCAAATAGAATGTGTGATTTGAAATTTTCCGACTCTGATTATACGTGTGACAAAAATTGATCACACATGCTCGTATTTATGTGAACTCAATTGGTAAGTCGTTGATAGGAGGAATTATGCGTCGAATGATTTCACATAACACAGATTAAATTCAAAGAATTTCCACATTTCCAGCATGATATAAATCTCACACAAACATTAATTTATTTGATTAAAATTGTTACCTCCCAAATGCCAGTACTTGCTAGGATAACAAATTCAGTTTCAGAATCTATCCTTTCAGACCCAACAACTAATTCTGAGCTTTTTGAGTTCCTTGTTCCCCCACCACTTACGCATACTTTAGGCATACGTAGAGCACCTGACACATATAAATAACAACAATCAGACAAGAAATTACAAGTATAATACATTCTTGAATCCATAAGTTGCTAGATGTGAAAGTTTCTTCATAGTCGGACCAAAATCCCGATAGAAAATGAGAGTAACTTTGTCACATCTATAAAAATGAACCAAAGTCGACAGTATTGAATAAGAATTACTCTTAACCAGATACAATATGTAGGACAAAGTGTTCTTGCACCCCTCAAGTTGCTACTTATGAATGTTTAGTCATAGTGAGATTCCCAAATCCCGATTAAGAATGAGAGTAACTTTGTAACATCTATGAAACGAACCAAATCGACCCTTATTGAGAATAAGACTTTCTTTTTGTTGACGTGTAATGAAGAACTAGATTCAGTATGTAGGACAAAGTGCTCTTGCACCTCTTAGTTGCTAGGTGTAAGTGGTTTCTTGATTGTTGTCTCCCAATCCCATTAAAAAATGAGAGTAACTCTGTCCCGTCTATGAAATGAATCAAAGTCAACCCGAGTTTAGAATAAGGCTTACTTCTTGTTTACACATAAATAGAAACCTGATTCAATACGTAGGACAAAGTGTTCTTGCCTGGAATGAGCTTCCGAGACCAGTGTTTTCTGGTAGAATGTTGCTGCTTTCTGCTAATTTGATAAGCCTTCCCGTCTCTACATACAATAGCTCTGTACTCCCCCATGTTTGCAGTCACAAGCTTCTCCCCATTGATCACAATAGCTGAAGCCGAGCCCGGCTTCTGTGCCTCTGCCCCGGCCGCCCCAGCCGCTGGCTTCTGTCTGTCTCTCATCTGTGCTCTTGCACTCAGATGTGCCCTTCTCATTGCTTCCTTGCTCCTTTTCCACAGATTTAACTGCATTTCATATATAAGGTCTCACTTGGTTTGGATTATTTTAGCAGTATTATATTGATCAATTATATACCATAAAATATAAATGAAATAAAAAACCAGTTATTATATTCACCAACTTAAAATGGTTCCGTATCCTCAAAATATGAACTGCATAGATATAAAGAGAGATACATCATCTGTCATTATCAAATCCACAAACAACTCACCTCTTTGAGCTTCTTGTTAAAGAAATTTGTTTTCATGTAGTCGAGAACCCCGTCGCTAATACCTTCTTCGAAAACTCCAAAGAGCCACAATTCACACTGTTCTATCTGTTCTCTTTGGACCACGACTGAGTCAAATTTTGTCACGCTACGACTCGGTGTACCACCCCATGTCCATGATCTATCTTCAACAACACGATATCCATGTGATACACGCATCATCCATGGAGGCCTAACTTCTCCATTATCTGATTTTCTTTCTTTACTTCCTCCATTACCAATGAGAAATCTTCTTAGCCTAGTTGCCTGTCCAAATACACCAAGGCATAAGAAAAACAAAAAAAATATACACATGTAACTGCACCCATGTACAGACACATAAGTGTGTCCAAAATCAAAATATATCAGGTGCTTGAAGTAAGGGGACAACTGCAAAGAATTTTGTAAAAGCTTGTAAACCCCACAACACTGGCATCTGATGGTCGTGCCAGGCAAAAAAAATTAATCAACACGACCCAGTTTACACCTCTAGTGGATAAGAATATAAGATGACTGAATGGTTTATTTATTTGAAATAAACGTGCAACTGTTATGAAAAGACTGTTCAAGCTTCAAGAAAAAAGGGAAGAATTTATCTGGGAGCATGAACTAATTCGAAGAGCGAAAACCCTAAACATAAAAGAATCATTACTATTCATACAGCATCGAAAACCCAAAAACCCAACTTTCACTCTGTATTCGATTGGCCTCTGCTGTGTGCATGAAAGAATGAGAGTTACCTTGAGCTTAAGACGAAGATCCTTGAGCCCCATGATTCATTGGTCAGTTTATGCGATTTTCCAAATGATTTTTTCTGTTTGATTGCAGAAATAATCAGATGAAATGGCAAGAATTTTGAATTGATAGGACTTCGAAGTGAATGAGAATTGAGAAGTCTAACATGGCTTTAAGACTTCTCAATGCGGAGTCCAGGTCATGTGTCACTGCGTTGCTGTCTTCTTAGCTATCCTTCAATTAAATTTTGACAAGTCACCGTAATTTAAAGTGTCAAAATTTTAGTGGGATACTAAAATATCTTTTTATGGGTTAAAATATGTCTAACTAAAATATTGATATTTCAAAATTATAGTGATGTGTCAGAATTTGATTGGACATCAGAACTCACTGTATAGCCATGCATCTAATTATTACTTTTTGTTAGTACAAAATAGTATGATTTATTTCTCAATCATTCAAACAGTAAGTTAAAAAACTTGATAATGTTAGTGATCTTTCGATGTTTTGACCCAAGATTGGCATGCAAAGTTACAGTTGTATCAGTAGAAAGAAGTTTCCTCAAGTTGAAATTGATCAAAACTTATCTCCGATCAACTAAATCATAACAAAGATTGAATGGATTGACCACGTTATTCATTGAAAAAGAAATAATTGAACAACTCGACTATACAAACTTGATTGATATTTTTGTCTCAAAAACTGCAAGACGAGTTATATTTAATTGATCGTTTAAAACATTTTCGTATTGTTATTTGATTGCAACATAAGTATTTTGAATATTTTATTTTTATTTGTTGCTTTATTGTTGAATTTAAGTTAACAACTTTAGTTTCGTAAGACTCTTGTAAATGAAAAAAAAAATGAATTGTCTGCTGCGACTTAGGAGCCCAAATTCTGAAGTTCGCTTCAGGCCCCATGAAACAAAGATCCGGCCTTGGCTAAACCGTAGTATTGTATCTATAGATTTATGTAAAAAATCATATTTCCTTCTTGTTCAAATCAAAATTTCTTCCTTTATATGTTTGAAATATCATATTCAAGGAAGTACAAAGTCGTTCTCTTTACTTCATAAAACAACATTCAAAGTTCAAACTTAAGTCCGTCCAATCAAAGTAACTTTTCCAACAATTTTGATGACCAAAGAATGTCTAAATTCAATTAATAAGGTTAGACAAAGTAAAATTTATGTATACTATTTATTTATTATTATTATTTTTAATTCGAGCAAATCAAGCATGTTTGGTCACACTTGCAAGTTAGTTATTAACACGACTTTTGAATTTAAAAAAATAAATAAAATAGTAATAAAATTTTCTAACTTCTATGTCAAGTAACATATTATATTAATATTAATGTAGAAACCACCAGCATCTGAGGGTTCTATGGTGTAGTGGTTAGCACTCTGGACTTTGAATCCAGCGACCTGGGTTCGACTCCCGGTAGGACCTTTTCTTTTGTCATTATAATTATAATAATTTCTCTAGAACTTTTTCTAATTTCCTTTCTATTTATAGGATTAATTGGCACTACCCAAAAAGTGATTTGTTTCTATTAAACCTAAAACACAAATCCAATGTGGAATTATTCTTTATGCAAATGGATATCACGAAAATTGAAAGATTTATATCGTATAAATTTTAAAATTTCTCGCAAAATCTTGTTTGTTGATCAATATTACTATTATTTTTTAGTTAGACCCATTTGCCTCAGGAGATGCTCGACTCGACTCGCAAAAAATTCAAAAAGAGGGGCATGACTCATGTTGACTTTTTTTTATATTTTTAATTAATTTTTTGAAAGGATAATGTTGTACCCAATTCAATCTGTGCGAAGTTGCGAACCTAAACAAGGATTGGATCGCCATCATCTCAAGTAACTTCTTATTCAAATGTTTTGTTTCTCATTTGAATTGAAGATCCAAATGGATAATGACGTAAATTGCATCACTGGCCAAGAAATCGAACGAGGCCAACAAATAGGCCTACATAACAAGCTACTAAGGCCGAATAACAAAACAAAATTATCAAGTCGAAAAACTGAATCGAAATCGTTGATTAGGATCCATGTAAATCCATCAACGTTTAGATTTTGAATCGAACCAAATCACTTTGAAATTGTTTGATTTAGGTTTCAATATTTGCAAACAGTTTCCAAATAAATAAATAAATAAATAAATAAATTTAAATTTTATCTCGCCCAATTAAAACTCAACACATCCCAATTTAAAGATACACACATATTAGACATAATCCAATTAAACTCAATACCTAAACAGACAATTATCTATCCCAATGAATTAAATGAATCATACATTGTAAATTCAAAACCCTCAATTGCGTTAAGTATTGAACAACGGTTGTTAAACCATATTTATTGATCGTCCATTACAATTGAATATAAAATTAAATATAGATTTCTAATTCAAACTCAAAACATTTTTTTCCTTCTACTAATAATTTTTATTGATACTATTTGTGCTTTAACGTAAAATTTTAAACTAATGTTTATGATTTAGCTTATTATATATATATATTTTTATTTTTTTCTCTGTTAAAATGTGGTTTTAAATCAAACCAAAACCGAAAAAAGTGATTTGGATTGGTTTTACTTTTGACTTAGAAATTGAAGTGGTTTAGTTTGATTTAAAAAAAATTAAAAATTCAAACCCCCCTAAATGGTTTGACTTGAAAATTTATCACAAATCATCCAATCGAATCATGTTCACCCTTACAAGCTACCATATTTGGCCCTACCCATAAATATCAAAAGATTCAAACCATGGTCAGTGATGGATCCATGATTGTTAGTGAGTTAGGGTGGTTGTTGACCTTCGACCGTTGCAATAACGAGATCGTTTATTAATATTTAATTAAATAATATTAAAAAAGTTTCAATCAATGTATAAATGTACTAAAACGGAGGTTATCAATGACTAACAACTCATGTGACTAAAAGTAGTGGCATGACTAAATGCACCACTAGAAGAATTAGGTTGAGACTTTCATTTAAATTGAAAAAATCATTCCATAAATTGCATGAAAATCAAATGTAAAACAAACTTAATTTTAAATTATCATAAATTTTTAATTTTCAATTTTCAACACCAATTTATCATTTATCACAAATAAAAAATTTCCCAATTTATTATCTATGACAAATGAAAATTTCATATCTAAGAGATTAAATATGACCTATTTCAAAATTAAGGAACAAGAGTTAAAACTTTAAAAATCAAATATTAATTATGAAATAATTAATTAAAAATATATTTTATTAATTAAATATATTAAGGTCACAATTCTATACTATTTGATTACAAATTATGGAATTAATTAGTCAAAAATTATTTCTCGATCACGAATAAAAAAATTTATAGGTCACAAATTATTTAACAATCACAATTAAAGAAATTGTAAGTCACAATTATTCATTGGTCACAAATCAAAGATTTTATAGGTCATAATTTATTTATCAGACATAAATCACAAATTTTATAAATCATGACTATAATTTTTAGGTCACATATTATTTATTGATCGCAAGTTATCTGTCACATATTATTTATTAATCATAAAATATCTAATTTATTGGTCTTAATCTCAAATAATTCGTCACATATTATTTATTGGTCACAAATTAACCAATATATTAGCCACAATCAACTAAATAATTGGTCACACTATTTCACTCACAACCACCGCACCACCACCACGACCATAATCACCATCACCACCATCGACCACCACCACCTTCACCTTCAAATCCACCACCATCACCAACATCTCCACCTGCACTAGTAACAAAAACCACCCCGAACTCCCAACAACACCAAAATATGGAAACCACCACCACTACTCCAACAAAGAGAACCAAATTCAACACCTCACCGCAACTACCACCTGCACTAACCATAAAAAATTCCACCACCACCGCTCCATCAACCAAAAAAAAAAAATAATCCAACAATCCAACAACCAAAACATCCAACCACCAATCTAAGCCCCGCTGCAATGGCCTTGCAAACGCACACAACGTCATCGTTGCTACTAGTGGCTTCTCTCAACAGCACCGCTGCAACGATGATGATGTCGCTACAATGCGCTCACAGTGAATAGGGTAGTCTCTGATGGCGACGCTCTTCGAGGGCGACGACATTTCATGTGTGAGGAAGAGGGTATAGAGAGACGAGAGAGGAAGAGATAAGAGAATGGAAATGAATCAGGGTTTGAATGTGATAGGGTGTAAATGCAAAAACCTCACCACCACCAACGGCAATGTAACCACACCACCACACACCAATAGCTACAAAAACACCCACAACACCACAACAAACCGCAAAATCACTACCACAACACCCACAACACCACAACAAACCGCAAAATCACTACCACAACACCTTACGATTTGAACCCACTGTCGTCTGAACCTACCATCTTCGATGTCGGATCTATTCAGAGCCACCATTGATACATCGTATTGTCGGAGATAACGTTACTCTCAGAGCTTCGAACACAAGTATGACACCACCTTCTCAAATTGTATTGCGGGCGATGCCACTCTCTAATCGTGCTGTGGTGAGATCTCATTTCGCTTCGCTCTTAGATGGATGCCGCGAACGATGGTGGTGCTGGTATGATATAGAGGAAGACAGAAGTGAGGGGTCGATTGTATAAAGAGGGAAAGAATAGATCGAGAAATAATTAAGGCTTGGGAGGGTAGATGGTAGTAGTGTGGATATGTAAAATAATTTTTATAATATTATTATTAATATTTAGAATTGAGATTTTGAAAACGCTTAATCCCTGCAATTTCCACATTTTAAAATCCAAAAAAAAAAAAAAAGTAGCCCAAAACAAGAGGCCCACTATTTTAATAATAATAAAAAAAAGGCTCAAACCTCTCATCTCCTTCACCTTCATGAGCGGCGACTGCTGATTGGTGAGTGATTCTAACGGCCAACTTGTAAATTTCGATAGAGCCAGCATGAAAGGCCACATCGGCTTGTTGGATGCTGGCTACATCACTGACCACGGTC